GGAATGCCTTGTAATATCCCTGAACATCCTTGATGTTTCCTTAAATGGATGTCTTGGTTTTCCTCTTGTCCAAAGTAGTGTCTTATAACCCTATATTAGATAGGATGAATGGATGTCCGGACAGATGGATATTAACACATATTTCATTGTATTTTTTTTTGGATTCAGTACGGTAGATTGCAAACACCTTATTGCAGAAAAGAAAAGATAAGTAAGAAAAATTTGTATAGTTTTTATACGGTTGCTGAGGGCTTTCAAAAACAATACAAATATATAATTTAAAAGCAATACAAGTACTTGAAAGACAACAGTAAGTCTTGCAAACACAAACTTGACCAACACACAACGACACAAATACACACAGAGAAGAAATACTGTATTCACAGAAAACAGAGAACAAAAGAAGAAAAAAAAATGCTACAAACACATAAATTATATTAGCACACAAAACACATGCAAAGGGAAAATGCTGCAAGTTGCAAAAAAATTTTTTTTTTAATTTTAATTACAAAAACAAACAAAATAGCTTTGCATCACACATGTACTCCACACCACTAGGGGGAGATGATCATTACTACATATAGGTCCAGACCATAGATATTACCTATGAATGAATGTCTATAGACCAGATTCGTTTGCAAAAATATATTTGAATTGCCTGTCCAAATGACATTTGAAGAAAAAAAAAGAAAAACAATTATTTTGAATAATTTTCTTTTTAACAATCTCTCTGAGCATCCTGTCTTTACTGAGGATCTGGTCGCATATGAGTTGCTACTTAACTCCAACTAGTGGTGTGGAGGACTTCCAGTATGTGCAACATTTTTCCCCTGCATGTGTTTAGTGTTAGTATCTTTTTTTTGTGTTTGCAGTTTGTTTGCACTTTGCTTGCTGCTCTATATTCCCTGTGATTACAGCATTTCACTTCTCTAGTAATGTTGCTTTGCATGAGTTTTGTGTTTGTCTCATTTTCACATTTGCTTTTCTAATTTTTTTGTTTCCAAGTCTTATTTTTGCATTTGCAGTTCTTTTTGAATTTGCTGTTAGAATTTGCAGGACGTTTATACCCTTTGGCCACAGTAATGTTGAATTTGTATTTAAACTCAACATAACCCTGAACTCACCATTCCCACAGGAATCATTATGCTTTGGAGATGATTTTTTATTCAGGGACAGAGGAACTTTCCAGAGTTTATGGGAGGATGGATGGAGATAAACAAGAAAGATGGAACCACTACTTCTATTCTACCAAGGTGAGAAGAACATTAAGCCAAGAGGACCACTGTAATGTTGGGGAAGCTGGAAATATCCATATTTCAGGAGTGTCTGTAGAGATGACCGTCAGCAGTCAGGTATACCACAAAAACCACTGGATAAAGAAAAAAAAAGAAGATCAGTGTATAATAGCCACAAGTCATGTACTTTATGAAGCAAACATGGAAAAAAGTTCACCCTGTAAAGCTAAACTACATTTCTTTGGAGGAATTAGCAAATATTTGATTGATAGAGCTATAGTCACACCAAGAGTTTGGTGACCCAAAAGAAATGTCTGGGTCACCAACCAAAATCACTTTCTAATTTATTTGTAAAACATTTTGAAAGCTATTTGTTCTTTTTCTTCAGAACTGCACTACTTTGTGTCGGCCTTCTGCAGAAACTCCTGATAAAATCAGTTAAAGTTGAAGGTTTCCATGTGACAAAATATGAAAAGGAACAGAGAGGGAATATTGGATAAGTAACTGATGGGCAAAAAAGATAATTAGGGTTTTTTAATGGTTTTAAATATATCTATAAAAGTAATCAGAGTACTTTATGTTTGTCTTAAAAAGTGCTATTTGTATTTGATTTTCTTTATTTTGGGAAAGAATATTTGAAAATCATTTTTACAATGTTAAAAACCAAATCCAAATAGTGATAAAAATGAGAAAATATATATTTATTAATTCTATTAACATTTTTATTCCAATTAATTTTCCATTCATTTTTATGGTCTGATCTAAACCCTACCTCTCTCAATTCCAATACACACCTGACCCTGCACCTAATCTAAACTCAATTCACACTTTAGTTCTGAACCCCAATCCCAAATCAAGAACATATCTTTGCTTCTTGGGACTAATGGACTGAACCACAGTACCTCTAAGACTCTCCACATGGTAACAAATGCATAGCCACACACACATTGTTATCTTGCTATATGTAGTGAGGACTATGTGTGGACTCCCATTGTTTTCTATTGCTTTTCAGTTATTTTCAGCCCTTTCCATGCCCTAACCCTGACAATAAACCTAATCATAACCATTACTTTTGCAAAACCATCTCTAAACTTTACTTAAGCTTGAAAACTCTAGTTATTAGAAAAGGAAGTGAGAACCAGTAAAATGTTCTCAACTTTGGAACAATAAAGTCCTCAATTTGATGATGAAACTGGAAAATTATCCTCACTCTGATGCCAAACCAGGAGACCCCCATTCCCCATACACACACAGTGTTCAACTAACCTGAATGTCAGAAACAAGATTCAACTTTCCAAGTATTTTTTCCTTTTAAACAACAGAATCATCCATCAGCCCCTCACTGCCCCCCTCCCCTCCCTCACCCTGCTCTGAGGGCAGCAATGGCGAGCTGCCACATTCCTCGCCGCCGGGAAAACAACGAATCACATCCCAGGAAGTCAGAAAGGAAGAAGCTGGCTAATGCTTTCCTGTTAAACACTAAAACACACTCTCATACACAAACAGTGAGACACACACGACCTCAGCCAGTCCAAACCATAATTACAGGCTGCAGATGTTTGGCAGTTAAAGTTTCACTGCAGCAAAGAGTTACAGACCCAAGAGGAACCGGTACTGAAACCAGGACCCGGGATCTGGAGCAGAACCACAGCAGATAGTTTAACATAAAGTGCAAATAATGGGAGAATTAGGAGCAGCATAGAGCAAAATCAATCCAAATCTTTAAAGTAGTTGAGTGATACATTATTTCACAAGTAAAACCAGAACTTTCTGAAAGTTCATCTTGTCTGCAAATCTAAAGGTGATATTTAAAGTTCAGATTCTGTCACAGTTATTTTTATTTTCTCCGTTGGTAGTTCGAAGGTGATTTTTGTTTTGCTGTTGGCTCTCAGAGTTCTTCTGCTGCTCGGGTCCCATTTCCCTCCTCCCGTCGTCATGGTGACGCTCAGCTATGCAGAGCCTGAATACAGTCAGCAGCTTCGCGGAAAGAGGCCTTTGTTACCCACAACCCCCCATCACCTCCTCCCCCCGCCCGCTCCCCTTTTTGCTTTTCTGTTCATTTCAGCTTCATTTTTCAACAAATGAGAAACTACCTTCAACCAACTATGATTCCAATATATGTCCTAGCCTGTCAACGAACACACCCTGTTACTAATGAAAAATGTTTAACAACTTGCACTTTTTGCTACAAACTTTTTGTCAAGCATTTATGTGACCAAACCGCACAGATTGGGTCATGATTTGTCACTGAAAGTCCCCTTTTACTCATCTATTCCCTGTAGAGAAAATCCAGTTTACCAGAATCTGTTCAATTATTAAAAAGAACCCAACTGTCAATTTTCAATTCAGTTTAATTTTATCTAACAAATTTACAACACAGCATCTCAAGGCACTATGCAGAGACAATTTAACCAGTTTTCAATCTAAGACAAACCAGCTGATTGTATCGACTAATTGACTTGATCCCTCACACCAAGCATGCTTGTAGCAACAGTGGATAGGAAAAACGGTTTAACAGGAAGAAAAACAGACAACCTCCGAGTCAAAGCCCATGCCAGAGGATGAAAGTGAGAACACAGTTAGTCACAGTCAGAGAAACAGGACTACAATGAAAAAAAAGGCCAAGCTCCCACTTCTATTAGCAAAGGTGTTGATGGCAGCAGCACAACTGATATTTCTCTCCTGGATGGAGTCACAGCCAAACAGGAATAGACCAGATGAAGCTACTATGATGAGAAAAAGCAGAGAGAACATAAAGTTAGGAATTGAACTAACAAATACTGCAGAATGGGAGAATAGAGATGAATAGTGGTCCCTATGTCCTACAGCAATCTAAGCCTATAGCAGCATAACTATAGAGATAGCTCAGAATAACCTGAGCCACTCTATTCTTTTTAGTAAGCTTTATCAAAATGGAAAGTTTTAAGCCTACCCTTAAAAGTAGAAAGGGTCTCTGCCTCACAGACTAAAACTGGTATTTGGTTCCACAGGAGAGGAGCCTGATGACTAAAAGATCTGCCTCCAATTCTACTTTTAGAAATTCTAGGAACCAATAAACCTGCAGATTGAGAGTGAAGTGCTCTGTTAGGAACATAAGGAACAATCAGATCTCTGATATAAGATGGAGCGTGGCGATTTAAGGCTTTATAATTGAGAATTCTTTTCTGAATTGAACAGGAAGCCAATGAAGAGAAGCCAGGAAAGGAGAGATATGATCTCTCTTTTAAATTTTCATCAGAACTTTGGCTGCAGCATTTTGGATCAGCTGAAGGCTTTTGTGGACTTCCTGATAGTAAAGAATTACAATAGTCCAGCCTTGAAGTAACAAATGCATGGATTAGTTTTTCAGCATCACTTCTGGACAGGATATGTCTAAGCCTTGAGATATTTCAGAGATGAAAGAAGGGAATTCTAGAAACCTCTTTGTTATAGGATCTAAATGACAGGTCCTGATCAAAAATAATACCAAGATTTTTTACTTTATTATCTAAGATCAATTTAATGTATCTAAATAAACTGTTTGGAATTTTACCTCAGGGTGGATGGGTGAATGGACACTGTTTTAAAACAGAGTATTGATGTTTTCACAAACCATGGGATTTAATTGATGTATTTTCTTCTTTTATTTACTTATAAAAGTAAACTAAATCTTATAAAATATTCTTCTGATTATTATTAATTGTTGTCAGTCGGTTAGATCATTGAGTTGATGAGCAGCAGAGCAGGAGGAGGGCGGCATCATCTCCATCCTCCACCTCCTCTTCAGTGCGCGCGCGTGTGTGAGCGCGCGTGTGCGTCCTCTCTCTCACTCCGCTGATTGGACTCTTATTGCTCGCAACTCTGACTGAAGATAGAAAATATGAAATAAGATAAAAAGTTTTCTTGAGAACAACTCGATCATCTGAGCGTCGCTGCTGCAGATTTTTCTTTTCTTTTGGGGATAAAAGAGGGGAACTGCGCGTCTGGGAGTCGCTTCATGGTGATTTGCTGGGAGGATCTGCGCTCTGCTTCATTCAGGTCAGCTTTAGGAAAGGAATCAGATTTTTTTTTTTAAGGATTAAAAAACATCTCATTACAGTCATCTACGTGTTATGTTAAATGAAGTTGCATCGAGGCAGTTTGACTTTTTTATGGGAAACAAACTTCAGTGAGGGATCAGAAAAAGAGCAGATAACTGTGACTTTGATAAAATATGGCGACATTTTTCCGGTTTAAATTGTTTTTTAAAATGGTTTATAACCTTGACATAATATCATGTACTATATGGTTAAATCCGTGTCTTAATTTACATGTTGCAACAGGACAGTAGGGTTATTTTCGGTGTAAAGTTTTCACATAAAAGCATTTTTTTGTTTGTTTGTTTCATGGAGCTGAGAGACAAAAATATGATTTTTTTAAATATCAGACCCTTGCAGAAATGACTATTTTGTATTCAAACCTCAAATGAGTATATTTTATCGATCACTTAGATATTTTTTTGAAGGTCTGTGCTCTTTCTTCACATGAAATATGAGTAGCCCACCTTCCTTTGAATTTTGAGAATTTAAATATAGGCTTAGTTCATTTTATGTGAAATTTAAAACAATCATACTTTTGTTGATTTTCCCTTTGTTTTTGATACATTTATTTACTCTAGTCGTCATGTTTGAAACTAAAAACAAAGTATTTCAAAGATGAGTGATAATGTTTCCGGAAGAAGCTGATGCGTTTCATAACGTTTGAAGATATTTTGAGTTAATTCCTGAAAACACCTTAAATTAGACATTCTGGCTGCTTTTTAAGGGGAAATGTTTTTGCCTGTAGTTGGATGGGGCTCGACTTCCTAAATCTGCAGTAAGGGAAGTTTTTAATGAGCTTTAATTAACTTCAGAGCATGCCGCAGCTATTTCTGGCTTTTTCTTTCTTTTTTTTTTTTTTTTTACTTTATCCTAAATTGTTTTCCAGCTTGGTTCCCGTTTTCACTCTTATACTAGAAATTAATAAAATGCCCAGAGCGAGGAACTTTTTTTCGTTTCTTTGGGGGGGGGGGGGGGGGGGGGGGGGGGGGGGGGGGGGGGGGTTATTTAAATGTATATTGCTCTGCATGATATGAATCTGGGTGTTTCGATTAGATGGCAGTTATAAACCCATTCGTTACTCTGAAGAACCTGTTCAATCAGAGAACAATTGTTTATGCATATACTGACTTTCTCTGCAGGACCATGACCTTCACCAGCAGCAGAACTCTCTCTGCTCAACCTCAATGCGGCCAAATGACATGAGGAACTAAAGGTTGAGGACATTGCACCCCCTGCTGGACTCCACTTGCAGTTGCAGGCCATGGATGAGCCCGGTTACTCCGACCTTATTGCCACACATTACAACTACACTGGCAAGTTCCGCAAATCCACCCAGCAGGACTCGGGTCTAAAGGCTGACTCTGTTATTTTCATCATTGTATGCTGCTTTATCATTCTGGAGAACATCCTGGTCTTGACCACCATCTGGAGGACCAAGAAGTTCCACAAGCCCATGTACTACTTCATCGGGAACCTGGCGCTATCTGACCTATTGGCTGGCATTGTCTACACCGCCAACATCCTGCTGTCTGGTGCCAACACCTACAAGCTGACCCCCACACAATGGTTCTTCAGGGAGGGCAGCATGTTTGTGGCGCTGGCAGCGTCCGTCTTCAGCCTGTTGGCCATTGCTATTGAGCGCCACCTCACCATGCTGAAGATGAAGCTGCACAACAACGGAAACACGTTCCGAGTCTTCCTCCTGATCAGCACTGTGTGGATGATTGCAGCAGTGCTAGGCGGACTGCCGGTGATGGGCTGGAACTGCATCCAAAGCATGGAGCAGTGCTCCACCGTGCTGCCACTGTACCACAAGACCTACATCTTGTTCTGCACCACCGTCTTCAGCATTATCCTCATGGCCATCGTGGTGCTCTATGCCCGGATTTACGCTCTGGTACGCACCCGCAGCCGCAAACTTGTGTTCCGCAAAGTCACCAATGGTCGAAGCAGTGCCAATGCCAACAATAAGAGTTCAGAGAAGTCCATGGCGTTACTAAAGACTGTCATCATAGTTCTGAGCTGCTTCATCGCCTGCTGGGCACCGCTTTTTATCCTCCTGCTCCTAGATGTGGCCTGTGAGACCCTGACCTGTCCCATCCTCTACAAGGCTGAGTGGTTCCTTGCACTTGCTGTCCTGAACTCTGCCATGAACCCGCTCATCTACACACTGACCAGCAACGAGATGCGTCGGGCTTTCCTCAAGACACTGCTTTGCTGCACCGCCTGGATTCGACCGAAGCCCAAGTTCACAGGACCGATCATGGGAGCGGAGTTCAGCCGCAGCAAGTCGGATAACTCCTCGCACCCCAATAAAGAGGAGGGAGAGTACTCACCGAAGGAGACGACAGCAGTATCCTCAGGGAATGTCACCTCGTCGTCATAAACAGGAGACAGGGACAGGTCACACAGAGAGTTTGTGAATATACTGAAGATGCATTTGTTGTTATCTTCAGCCTACACACAGATCAGGACTCATTGGAGTATTGAGACTTGCTAAACTGGTTGAAGTGGAACCAGTGGAACCTGAAATAGTGGGAGTGAACACATTGTATGTAGTTCGTATTGTCCGTTCATTGTACTTGTAGCAACTCTGAACGTTCTGCTCCCAGTTGTAGTTCAGCGGGGTTCAGCCTCAGTCAGGACTGGGTCAGAACAGAACTGGATTCATTAGGTTTCCTCTCAGTCTTGTTGATGAAGCGGAACATTTTCCTTGGAACACAAAGTTATGGGAAACTGGGAGCACTGGGAGACGGTATAGCAGCTCTAGAAATGAATGTTGAGGGGAAATGAGCTTCTTAGATCATTTCTGTTTGAACCAGACTTTATTCTCACCCTTCAATAACAAAAAGAACTTGTAGCTTTTAAACCCACTACTGTTGGTTATTTAAGAGATTGATTCATGTAAAATGTCTTTCCTCCATCCACTATTCTTAAGAAACTCAATGTTTGAATGTCCGCATGTGAATTAAGAGCTCCGCTGCTTTTTCTCATTTTTTGGCACATAGAAAAGTTTCCAACATTTATTACAACTTTCTAGAACCAACAGAAACACTTTCTGTTTATTGCTTTTACATTTAAAATAATCATTTTCAAAGAAAAAAAGTATTTTTAGAAGTGCTGCTTAGAAGGCTTGTTAAATAATGAAAATAATACTTTTTAACTATCTTAAATTAAATAATATTAATCATGAAAACATGAACATAATACAATTTTTAAAAACCGTTTTCAGGGGTAAATAAAATTACTTTAAATTCTTACTTGGGTGGGTCAGTTTTCATTTGACCTTATTTTGAATGTCAAATGAAAATAGAATTATGAATTATATGAATTAAAACTTAAATCTCAGTAAAAAGAAATGACCCGCACAAAAAAATAGTTATGTGGTGTTTTATTCTGGTAAAATAAGCTTGCAATAATAAGTAAAAAGCACTTTCTGTGTGGGTTTTTCTGGGAAATATTCTGCCTTGAAGATCTTGCAATTTTGTTTTATTACTGCATGTAATCTAGGGCAACTTGATGCTGTTTTTAACCATACTTTGTTGGGTGAAATGTTTGTTTTCTATTATAAAGAACATTTGTTTATTCATAAACTGAATTGATAAAGAACTAGAGGTACAAATTTAACATCTCAAAAAGAGACATGAAACAGTTCAAATTTAATTGTAAATAATAAAAAAAGGCACTAGCAATTTTTCAGAGCTCCTGGATCCCAGACTACTATATGACATTACGCTGATTGAGACCTGGTTCCTGATCTTTGTTTGGGAGCCAGCTGCAACTTTGGATACTGATATTTTGACCAGTTACATATATGTAAAAAGTGTTTTTGTAAATGTTGTAGAATCTGTTTATCTGAATGTGTTTTCTATGTTTTATGTAGTTGACCTCAGATTAGTTTTACTGATTTATATGACACTAAAAACTCGTTGAAAGAAATACATTCCAACTGTTACAGAAGTACACAGAAACACAGAGGTCCATTTTGAGCCCAAATAAATAAGAGCAAAAATAAATGTACCCAAGAATTTGCCAATAAATAACATTAATATTTATGCTGCTTGGAGTCTTGCAAGGCATTGTAAAAGTAGTTTATGGCACAAAGAGGCTCCCATAGAGACTGCAGTCCGTTTCCCTGATTGCCTTTAGCGTTGGTCTCATATTCACTCTGTCAGGAGTCTGTTGGTTAGTCGGAGAGTCCCTGACAGTCCAGCCTCACATGTTCCTGTTCAATCTGTTTAACTCCTAAGTGTTTGTTTTTTTGTTAGAACTTAATAAAAGGAGAATTAGAAACACAGTTTTTGTCTGAATAATAAAAACACACCCAAATGTAAAAATATGAAGGGTAATAAAATTTTATTTATGAGGGAATTATCATATTTGCATCTTGGTATGGATTTTGATATGAGTCGTCACATCATTTCATAGCCAGGAGACATCTGAGATTTTATATAAATACTTTCAAAATCCATCCATCCATCCATCCATCCATCCATCCATCCATCCATCCATCCATCCATCCATCCATCCATCCATCCATCCATCCATCCATCCATCCATGTTTCCAGAATGAATCCAAGACCAAGACAAGAACGAATATGTACCTTAGTCCATTCAAAACCCTCTTGGTCTGCCATCCTGTTCCCACATTATGGGAATGTGGGATTATCCAAGCCTTTGGACTCAGACAGGGAATGTTGGCTCATACCATCTTTTAGTGTGTACCACCCACAGAAGCCTGACCAGCTGAGAGTAGTTTTTAACTCAAGTGTTTGAAGGACAGTCCCTTAACAAAGTCTCATTAAGTGGACCAGACCTAAAAATACACAACCAGGTGTCCTTATAGGAAAGAGGCTATGGCCTTTTCCGATGATGTACAACAAATGTTTTATTGTTTTGAAGTCAGAGAGGGTCAACGTTCTAATCTATGATTCCCTTGCTATTAAGATAGTTACCCTAGCAAAGGCCTTTGTGACTCTAAAATGAAGGTTCAATTATTTGGGTATAGTCCTTCCCCAGCTGTGGCTATTTACTGTATGAGGCATATGCAGTTTAAGGAGAACTATATTGACATGAAGCAAAGCAGTTCATTATGAGACATTTTTATAATGATAATGGCCGTGCATCTACTGAAACAGGAGAAGAGGCTGTTAACATACTCAAAAAGGCACGAAACATGCTGGCCCAGTTGAACTAATTAAAATATCATCTAATGACCAGAAGTATTGAAAGCATTTCCTGCTGTATGAGAGAACCAAGGACATAGAGGACTTGGATTTTTGGATTCAGCTCCCAATAATAGGAGGATGCTTGGTCCTTCTAAATAGATATTATCATGAAAAGGTTCATCAGATGCTTCACATAACACAAAGAAGGCTCAGAGGAGTTTGATTTTGGACTATTAGCATTTAACACGTTGTCTCCAAAGCTGCTCACAAATGTGTTCTCTGTCAAAAGCTTAGAAATCAAATGTAGACTGAAAATATGGCAGATTTAACCATTGACAGGTTGTTACCCATGCCACCATTCCCCAGTGTAGGACAGGATGATTTTGACAATTGGACAGTCACCACACGTTGCACCAGAGGAGAAGGTGCAGACCACAAACATTGGGGTGTACTTTTGTCCACAAGAGGTATGCATATTCAGCTCATTGAATCAATGTCAATATTCAGCTTCACCAATTTACTAAGGACCTGCTCAAATATTTTTCTCTGATAGAAGATCTAACTTCTTTGGACTGTGTAATGACCTAGAAGCTTAAAGCTACAAGTTTTCGAGCTAAAAGCTTTCCAGCTAGAAGCTTTCCAGCTGCTAAGAGCTAGAAGCTCTTAGCACTGGAAAAAGGATGTGCATGGCTCTTTACCTCAAACGTTTTAAAGATAGGTTAATTCTGGGAACCATTTAGTGGAGTTGTGTGAAACATCTTGGACAGCATTCTTTTGAAAGCTGCACATATCCAACTCACATATCAAGTGTTAAGTACTTTCATTGCAGAAGTGATGGCAGAAATGTGTGCAAGACCATTTATACCAGTCTCAAAAGATCCAGACAAACCAAATCTCGTCACTCCAACAATACCTTACATCCTAAAGAGTTATCTGAAGCTTTGCACCTCCAGACCTCTACTCAAAGCAATCGAAGCAACTAGTGTGTCTGGAAGACTATTTAAACTATGAAGACCATTGAAGACTAAGGACACTAAAGATTATGGAAGCAATGGAAAGGTGAGCCATTAATGATGAATGGAACATCAAAGATGGTGGCATTGTGATACTGAAAGATGGTCTTAGAAATGACAGGTCCATGGAAAGACCTGTAAGAATATTTGAGAGTAAGGACAATACAGTTCAAAAGGTATAAGTGAAAATGATCCATTTCTGATTCTAAATTCCAGGGTTTATCAAATTTCTACATTTGAACTGTTCTGATGAAAGTTTTTCTAAGCTGGACAAATAAAGATGACAGATACCTTTTATATCCTTCCATCTTCTTCTGCTCATTGCATCAGGGTCGTGGTGGGGTCGTTGCCTATCTCCGGCAATCTATGGGTGAGAGGCGGGGTACACCGTGGACAGGTCGCCACTCAGTCGAAGGTCAACACACAAATTTTGATTTGCTTTTCGCATTTCTAATTAACCTAACAGTCAGGTTTTTAGGCTGTGGGAAGCCGGAGTACCTGGAGAGAACACACACATGCAAAGAGAGAATATATAAAGTCCCTGTAAAATCTATGGGGATGTAGAAAGAATGATGCGGTACATTCACATATGGTTAGGCAGAACCATCTTAGTGGAACATGAATAAAAGGAGTTATTTTATACAAGAGTACCGCTACCCCCCTGTGGTCACATATCGGTGCTGCATTAGAGTGTCTAATGTCATACCTCTTTTTCTATCTGTCAAATGCTGATCTGTAGCAGAAGGGATACTTAGTGCTGAAGCAGCCAAAACTTTAACTAAAACCTGCTCATTACGATCACAATATTAACATTATTAAAAAGCCACTCTTCTTTGACACAGGCACACAGGGAGATCAAATAGGACCTTTGGGCAGCAAAATGTCAACAGCAGTCCAAAAAAACCCTGAGCGATCACTGAAAGTGGGTTTGGACAGAGACGACCTTTGGGTAAATAACTCCAGCGTCAGAGGAGTTGCTATATAAACAGACTTGAGCATTTAGCAGCATTTGGATCAGTTTTTCTCTTTGAAATCAAATGGATCAGATTGTGCTCTTGACGTTGTCTCACTGCTGTGAGTACATCTAATCTGTGCTTTTCATCTTGCTTGTTTAGAAGAAATACATCGACTCATAATGAGAGAAAGTTTTAGTTGTTCTGCCGTGATCTAATTTAAAAAAAATAATTTTTCAAACAACTTTCCAAAGGATTTTTTTACACAGCACTTTCTAATAAAAAAATGACAATACAGAAAATAGAGATTAAATATTTTGTGACCTCAACCATGCACCCACAAGTTGATTAACCTCACTCCTGCTTGTCTCTGATTGGTGGACAGGGTGGACGACCGCTGCCAGGTATGTGTGGTCAGGTGAGTCAACTTTAATACATCCTGTAACCTTTCTGCAAGATTTTCTTTGGTCAAATTCTAAAAAATAAGGTGATTTATGTATGATTAATAGTAAAATATGACATAAAGGTTAGAAAAACTGGAATCAAAACATAAATTGCTGAGGTCTCTATCAGGAATTAGGCTTTTGTGTTTTTTTGACAATTTTTTGACAAAAATTGATAAATTTATTTAGCAGTGTTTCACAATATTACACACAAGTTTTTTTTTAGTTTAATAATTATAAAACATATTAAATACAAAAAATTATTTTCCTTTAATTTGAAAATTATAACAAAATGTCTCTTAAAGTTTTAAAGTTACCCATGCCTGAACAAGAAAAAAAAATGTTTCTCAAGGTTGATTCAAAAAAGCTTGATAGAACCAGTGGCGATTTCTCATTGAATACTAGGGAGGCAAAAGCTCCCCCGTACATTTCATAAAATTATCAATAAAATATAATATATAATATATGATATGCATTGTCAAACTTCATAAAAGTATTCCTTAAACAGCATTAAATATGCCCTAAAAATTCATTTGTATATTGTGCATAAATCAGCTATTGACCCCACTCTCTGACACAACCACCTCCCCAGCTCTGGGGCAGGAGGTTGCTGCCTGTCCATCTCTATGAGAAATCCCTGTTAAGGTTTGAACCTCGGTCTGTTGAGGAAAGCAACAATAAAGTAAAGCACTAATTGGTTAACAAAGAAAAATACGTCACTTCCAGGGAGACTAAACCTCTTATGGGCAGGGGCGGGTCATGAAGCTGGCAGCTTGATGCTGATTGGCAAACATACCTAAGAATTTTTTAAGTCACAGCGAGGAAGTTTACCTCATGAGTCAAGAGGGAAAGTAGACCTAATCCTTCATTCAAAACCGTCATCTGTGTTGAACTCTTGCCGTATTTCTGGGGTTTATTATTTCCGAGCACTTCAGAACAGCTATTTTCACTCGTTATAGTGATGTTTTTTATGTGCTTCAACATTTTTAATACAATATGTGATGTTCAAATTGAATTAACACCATTCAGCCTCCCCTGTTTCAGAGAGCAGCAGCCACCACTGCACAGGACTAGTCAAAGTAACCCTTTTACTCCAGTGTGATAAAGCCCTTAATAGAGGAGGAATATGACATGATCAACTATGCTCATTTTTCTTTACTTAAAATTCACCAGCAAATGTTTTGGCACTAGACTGAGTGAAGCGGCTTTTGCAGTAGAATTTTTACAGGATTAATTATGGCAGATAGTGAAGAAGGTGATTGTACAAGTCTTGCTTTTATAGCTACCTTAATACCCTTTATACCTTAATTTTTTACAAAAATAATTTTAAGACATTTTAATAAAAAAAAAAAAGTATACTCTCAACACTGTTGCCAGTACGTCTGATAGCATATATATCAGGCATACTATGAGTAACTGTAAGTACCTTGTGAGTCTACCATATTACCAGTAACTTGCAGGTGGTCTGCATAGTGGGATGATTTGACCTGGAGTCTTTCTACATATTTTACGCTGTTGTTGTGCAATTATTCCCATTTGATAATGAATATTTATTAAAACCTGAATTAGAAATTATAATTAATAATGTATTATTCCAATCAATATCATCCCCATAGAAAATACATTTTTATGCTTCAATTCACAATTTGGACCTTCAGTTAACAATCATTAACTCAATGTTCCAGCTAATGTGGATGTTCAAACTGGTTGTGGACTTGTT